TCTTCGGGAATGAATGTCTTCTGAAGCCTCTCTCAAGCTGGAGTAGGACCTTATGATCATCCTTTAGTTTCTAATTGTCTGTGACAGTGATGACATTTACCACAAGTTTAAAAGCTGTTTGAGGATATGAAAAATAAAAGAAAATGATGTTACATACATAAGTACTGTGAACTAGCAATTAGCATTGCACGTGCCCACACATGCGCACACACACACCTGTGCTTCTCGAAGGAACGTCACCGGTCAGTTACAATGACACCCTGATAGGAAAGACATCTTTTGGTGAATGACTGTTCAGTCCATGGAAACAGTAGGCTCCCTGGGTTAAATAGAGAAGTGGAATATTCAAAAGAGACTTCCTAGGGAAGGCAGAAAATCAACTGGATTTTGTAGACTGACTAGGATTTGTTCAGGATGTTAGATTTTGTCAGGAGAACTACTGCGTGTGAGGGTGGAAGATGAGGCAGGGCTGGAACAGGGTGTCTGCCTCAGCCCTGCAAAGCCGTAGGTGCTTGAGGACGGGGAACCCGTAAGCACCTCGACTAGTCCACGGGACAGCAAACCCCAGCTATCTTAGGTGCCCCATCCTGTTATCTGGGGTTGGGGATTCGTCCTCAGCAAGGAGTTTGAAGGTAATGTGGCAAGCCGGGGAGCTATGGCGTACGTCCTGGAAGAAGGGAGTGTCATAGGTTTAAGATTAAGATATTTATTACGTGGATTCTCACCACTCCCGTCCCCAACTTGGGCATATTCCCAAGTTTTTCATGGTGGATGGGGGAGGAATAGATACTTTCTTCTCCCCTCACATACACCTTCTCAGCTGCAAGCCCTGATCATCAGGTTCCCACGCTACACTTCTTACGCAGCCAGGCACCCAGCTGCGGACGCCCTCCTGGGCAACACAGTGGGGGTGACCTCTGCTTGGGAGACTGGGGGAAGCCAGTTTGTCTCGAAACTGAACTCATATCTCTGGCCTCTGAGACAGAGCTTTTTGGCCTAAATGCCTTTAAAATGAGTGTTTTTCTCCCAAGCAAGATTCCCTTCCTACAAAGACATTTCTCCAGTTAATAAAATATTAGTGGGTATTTCTGTGGATACTGCTTTGAAGATTTGGTTAAATAAGAGGAAAATATCACCAAGAAATGGTCCCATAACAATAAATGGCATAATAGCATACTGGCCTGGGAGTTCTGAGACCAGAACATTCTAGGTTCAGATTTCACCTCTCCTGTGTAAAACAGGCCTTGCCATCATTAATACCTTGCAGGGTTGTTTTTAGATTTCATTTATTTATTTTTATAGAGAGGAGAAGGATAGGAAGAAGAAAGGGAGAGAAGCATCGGCATGAGAGAACAGCATTGATCAGTTGCCTCCAGTACATGACCCAGCCGAGGACTGAACCAGCAACCCAGGCATGTGACTGGGAATTGAACCAGCAACCTTTCACTTTGCAGAACAACACCCAACCGAGCCACACCGGTCAGGGTGCAAGGTTGTTTTAATGATCAGAAATGGTATGTGCAAAGCACCTGACTTGCAAATATTCAGTAAAGGGTAGATGTTATTAATAACATCCACATTTTACGGAGGTTACTCTCCTGGGCTGGGGGTTTGCTGTGTTGCGCTGACCCTGTGAGGTGGTGCTGGCTTCCTCAAGCAGCATCTCTGCAGGCAGGGAGCACACGGAGCCCGCCTGGCAGGGCCGGGCCTTGGGCAAACCCGCGCTCACACAGTCTCTGCCAAGAAGAAGTCTTTTCTTTTTGCTTTGCTGAGAAGGCTTTGCTTCTCCCACTGGGAAATCAATTTCACTGTGCAGTGAGTGGCTCTCAGTAAGTGGGGTCATACTACTGCTTTTCTAAAAGAGAGACACAGTTCTGTTGTTATTAATTACGGCACTGACACAAGACTGGTGGAATTTGTAGGAGAAAATAACCTGTTTACTCTCCTTCTGCCATACCCACTCCTTTCTAGAAACTCAGAGTGAAGAAGTGATTTTTATCTTCCTGCCTGGAAACCATACCCTCTTCTGGTTTAAAACGAGTAGCCTCCTGTCCCTGGAGACCCGTCGTATATGAATGTCTACAAGAAAAGGGATTTTTGTCGGCTGTCACTTTGAAGGCACAGTAACAAAGCCACCATGCCAAGAGATGCCTAAAATAGCTGAGCGTGTAATTATGGGGCTTGATGCTTCCTAGTCACAAGCTTGAAAGTACACCCTCTTTGGAGTTGGAGCCCACATTAAGGTCCACTGGTTGTGGATGACAAGACGTTTTTATTCTCTGCTGGGTTTTCTGACATATACAGCGCAGCTCCCTTTAATATAATAGAGTGAGATGCAATGGAAATCTCAACAGGAAGTAGTGATGTTAGGTGAGAAGAGTATTTGTATTACTGTTAACTTGTTTTGTGAAACAATTATATGCAAAGTTATACACAGTAGTCATTCCTCATATTTTTGAAATTGGTTTGACCGCCCTTCTTTTTTCATATACGGCCTCCTTACCTATAGCACTGGCTGTATTGGATTGGCCAAAAAGTTCGTTTGGTTTTTCCCATAAGATGGCTCCAGTAGTGCTTAGTGGTTTTGAACTTCATTTGAAATAACTTTGTTAGATCATATTGTGACAGGTGTCATGTCAGCGTGTATTAAAAAAACATCAAAATTGGTGAATTTTTGTATAGCCATTTTAATATTGAAGATGGAAGAAAATGAACATCTTTGGCATATTATGCTTTATTATTTCAAGAAAGGTAAAAATGCAACTGAAATACAAAAAGAAAAAAAGATTTGTGCAGTATGTGGAGAAGGTGCTGTGACGGATCAAATGTGTCAAAAGTGATTTGTGAAGTTTCATGCTGGAGATTTCTCGCTGGACAGTGCTTCATGGTTGAGTAGACCAGCTGAAGCTGATAGCGATCAAATCAAGATTTTGAGAACAATCAACATTATACTACACGGGAGATAGCCAACCTACTCAAAATATTCAAATTAATAAAGTTATTGGTGAAAATGAATGCATGTCTTTTATGTTAGATAAAAAACCATATGGACTTTTTGGCCAACCAATGTAAATCCAGCCAAATGGAGCAACGTGAGGGGCAGCAGTTCTGCCCTGTCCCCTGCCGAAGATAGTGATTCTTTTTGGCTTCTTCTGAGAACTCTCTTCCAATGAGCATGTAGCCTCTAGGGGGCGGCAGAACACCAATGGAAACCACCGTGCCTGGGCTCTCAGTCTCCTGGCTCAATGCCCAGCCCTTCCAAGTCCACAGCGCAGCACCCACCCTTCTCCCCTTTGCCTAGAGAAACTCATCCTGTGGGCCTTGCCAAGTGGAGACCTTTGCCATTAAGCCTCCTCTACCCCACTTCCCTCCACTCCCCGCCTGCTCCTGCATGCTCTTAAACCCTCGCGGTCTACCTTGTACCACCATGTCATGCAGCTTGATGTGGGGCGTGTTTGCTGTTGTTTCACAATCAGCTATGCCCCTCCTTTTGGCAGGAACAGTGTCTTATGTCTGTGTTTCCCATAATGCCAGGACTGCCCTGGAGACCTAACTACATACTTGACAGCAGGTGGGGGTCCCTTAACTTACAGTGAGTGCTTGATTCGTGTTAGCTAATTTGATTGCCAGAGATGGTCTTGGTTTTGCACAGGAGAAAGTATTTTCTTTGCTTCACTTATTTCTGAAATGGCTACATGCTTTCTGGTTTGTTTCTGATTGGGGTATAAAATGGAGGCTTTTCAAAATAAACCCAGAGGTGTAAAGGAAAACATTGACTTGAGTGCCACAGATGCAGGTTGGCTCTTCCCTTTCTGAGCTGTCTGTCTTGGTTAACTTCTCTTCTCAGCCTCAGGGTTTTTATTCATAAAACGGGCCTGTCTAAGCTGGTCATATAGTTAATAGATTACAATAATAATCTAAACTGGATCATATTGGAAGGTAAAGGAGGAGTGGTTTTTATTTTGATTTTTTGGCGTATCTATAAAACTGTTCTATTCAAAAATGATTTTCAAAACATAATCTCCTACAAAAATTAATACACAGTCAGGATAAACTGTGAAGGGTACATGCCTTGCTCTCCAGGTCCTACCCCCGCACATTGTGAGTCTCGTCCAGCTCTAGCAGGAGAACACTGGTTGGAAGAACGTGGTCCCACTGGCATGCAGGCAGACAGCGGCCTCAGCAGTAGAGAGCGTACCCAGGGATGGCTGCACTGCACGCGTGGGGTGATACTTTGACTGCCCCATGAGCACAGAGATTTTCTCTGTCCTTGCGAAGTCACTACTGCTTCCGGGCAACTTGCCCGGAAGCTGAGGGACCAGCAGTGGCCCCCACTTCTGCACCCAGCCCCTGCCGTTCCAGCAGCTGTGCTCATCTGCTGGGTTCACCACAGACTGGCACAAATAACACCCCTGTTTAGTTACAAAATCTTCTATTGAAAATCATAAGCATATAACTCTGTAACATAACAATATCACGCTCAAGCACACCATGTGACATGTTCAGTGAAATGTTCACATTAAAACTATAAATTGTTACACCCATGTTACTACCCTATCAACTACACTCAAGCAGGCGTTACTTCTGCTAGACCCTGTAGTTTGAGCTGTAAAATACATACCTGCCTTGAACATCAGTGTCCCATGTAGCCAGAGCTTAATTACCATTCAGTGATTGACTTTCTAGGGTTGGACACTTCCCTTTCAGGAACTAAACGCATTACTCCTCATCCTGCCTCTTGGAAGTGCTGTTTGTTCTGGTAATGACCGCCCTTTAGCCTTGTGCTTGTTTAACCTAAAGCCCTGCAGAGGTGAGGACTTGCGTTTTTGCGAACTCCTTACATGGTGCAGAATTCAAGGAGTGCTCTGTGGTCTCCTGGAAATAGGGAAGGGTCTGCTCATGGTGTTTATCAATGTGTGATGGAAGAGTCAAGTCTGGGAATGGGTTGTATTGCAGGGACTGCCTTTTGCATGGGTCCTAACAGACTCTTCTTTCTCTAGGTACGTGTACATCCCAGTGGGCGGGTCCCAGCATGGTCTGCTGGGGACGCTGTTTTCCACCGCGACGACTTTTGCATTTGTGAGCTACTGGCATGGTGGGCACGACTACCTCTGGTGCTGGGCAGTGCTCAACTGGCTGGGAGTCACCGTGGAGAATGGAGTCCGGAGGCTTGTGGAGACCCCGTGCATCCAGGACAGCCTGGTGAGCAGGAGCCTCGCTCGCGCTGTAGGGCACAGCTGAGCCAGGGGAACCAGTTTGGGAGGGAAGATTCAGATTCAGCGCATCACGGGTCGTTCTTGCTAGATGGGTTCAAAACCCCTGTGCCTAGGTGTAGGACAGTGAAAAAACAGTCCAATGTAGCTATTTTAAAAGACTTAATGTTTTAAGCCCTGGCTGGTGCAGCTCAGTTGGTTGGAGTGTCCTCCTGTAGCCGAGGGGTTGTGGGTTCCATTGCTGGTCAGGACACGTACCTGGGTTGTGGTCGCATCCCCTGTCCCAGCACATTCAGGAGGCAGCCAATCGATGCTTCTCGCTCACATTGACGTTTGCCTCTCTCCCTTCCTCTCTCTCTAAAAAGCAAAGAAAAATGTTCTTAGGCAAAGATTAAATACATTGTCTTAACTATGAAAGCAATATATGTTTATTATATAAAAATTAGAACATTTAGACAAGAATAGGGGAGAAAAATACCTCAGCAGAAAACACTATTAATCCCCCATTCTCCCAAACACTTTCTGTACACACACACACACGCACAACATTTAAATCAAATGTTATTATTCCAGAGATATGGTTGTATCAGGGCCACCTTTCTATGCCACCAAATCCATTTCTAACCACCCTTTTACATGGGCTATAATGCATTTAGTCTTCTATCATTAATAACATATTATTCTGATATTTTTGCACATAGCCGTTTCATTGAAATGAACATCATAACCTGGATGAATTTTTGTGTGTAAGGTTTTCTTACCTTTAAGGTTGCCGTGCATACTGTTTAACTCTTTCTTAACCATGTGGCAGACAAAGGGTGTCGACTTACATCCCTACCAGCAGTTCAGGAGAATGTCTTTGCCAATACGGAGCAGTGCTGGTATTTTAATCTTTGCTAATTTGATAGTTACTGTTATAGTAACATTAAAAAGGCTAAGGATTTAAGTTCCCAACTCTACAGGAAAATGATTTGGAAAATAAACTAATCGGTCACTTTGATTTACACATTTTAAGTGATTTTGAACTATAAGTAAGTGTTTTATCACGTAAATGTGTATATGGTACGCCAGGATCTTGTAGGAAATAATCAGTTCTGCATATGAAGCAGTACTCCGATAGCCCTGCAAACGTAGCTGAAAAGCAATGTGCTGGTTTTAGTGTTCGCAGTCAGCAATAAAACACAAGAAATTTAGTGGGAAATGATTAATGTGGCTAAATTCCATCAATATATGCAACTAAAGCAAATACATACTTTCAAAAACCAACACTACCAAAACATAATACAATTGAGTGTTTTTCTGTAAAGCTAACCATAGTACAGGTGGACAGTTATTTCCATAAAAACTGATACAAAGTACACAGCAAAATAACACATCTAAAGGAATTTAAATATACTCATATGTGTTTAAAGATAACTATTATATTCAGTACTGCTACTCACCAGCCAGCAGAAAAGAAATGTCAGGTATTCTGATAGAAAGTGAAAGTTCAGTGAAAGTCACGGCAACACGAAGAACAGCCACAGAGGGTGGCACCGTGAAGGCTCCCGTCTCCATCCGGAAATCCGAGCGGGCTCCCCCAGAGCCTGACGCCCCACTGTGAGGTCCAGAGAGCTCTTCTCAGCCCAGGCTGAAGTGCGGTGAAGGTCTCAAGTTAACCTTGAACTTCATGTGAAGCAGTGCTTTGTAGAGTTTGAGCTAATGGTTATGTTATTCACCAGTCTTTCAAGTGTAACATGATGGAGAGTCACCCAAACGGTGCGACGTGGCCCACAGCCTGTTGGTCTTGGCTAAAGTGAGTGGAGCCCGGGGAACGCTCGCAGGGGGAGCACGTTCACCTCTGCTCTGTCACGCCCGAGGACCCCCAGGCGTTCCCCCCACTTGAATTTCTAGGAGTGCAGTACTTTTTGAATAGGCATTTTTGGTGAAATATATGTGTTGCCTATTGCAAATGTGGTGTTTGATTTACGTATTTGTTGAACAAGAACATATTTTGTAAAGCCTGTTTTTATCAGCTCTCCTGTATCCCGACAGCCTGGTAGTTGGTTACGGCTGTTTGACTAGGGTCTCCTCGGGGCCCAGGTCAGGATCCCGTTACTGTTCAAATCCCCAGGGGCTAGCTGGGTGTCTGAGCCAGCCTCCGTGTTAGGTCAATGCACAGTGACTGCTTCTCCTCGTCCACCCAAGGGCTCTCCCTCCGTTACTCTGCTTCGTATACAGGTCCGCACAGATTCTGTTTTCCTTCGGAAAAACAATGACTGGCCTTCCAAAGGCACATAGCCTTCTGAAAAAACTGTTTCCCCAATCGAGTTACCCTCTTTCCCTCTGTTTTCATGAATGCATTTCGTATTCTTTTGTCAGAATCTAATAACAACTTAATGCCTCCTTGGCACCTACTTTCATCCGACCTTAGTTGTCCCAGTTGATCTGACAATATTTTTACAATGTGGGTTCACTTCCCATAGCCCTTATACACTCTCTCCACAGCATTCATCCTCCATCTGTCTTTTAAAGAAAGGTGGAAAGATGTCTGAAGAACAAGGGTCATCATTTGTCCTTTCCCTTGTCTTCCTCATCTTCAACCTCAAAGCATTGCCTGGGGCAGGCAGTACCTCAGGATTTTAGTTCCTGGAGCCAACAGACTGACAGCTGAACACCCAGCAAGAGACCGGCCAGAGCTGAGTGTTGCAAACAGCAAGCCCTCGGATGTTTTAGGCAGGACTGTTTGATCGAACTTCTGCTGTAATGGAAACGTCCATGTCCAGTGCAGTGGTCACTGGCCACGCCGAGCACTTGAGAAACTAGTTTTTCAGTTTATTTAATTTTAATTAATTTAAATCCAAGTAGCCCCCATGTGGCTAGCAACTTCCATTTTGCATGGTAAAAGTCTAGAACGTATTTCTTTCCCAGAGAAAAGTTAAAAGAATATGGAGTGTTTGCCTCTGCTATAGTTTCGGATGACCTTCATTAATGTGCGGCTACTGAATCTCTCCACCTGAATGTCTCCCAGGGATCTCTGACTTGGCATGTGTAATTCTGAACTCATGCGCCCTTATTTTTCAATAATTCCAACCAGCTCCTTTCCCTCAAGCATTCTCTGTTTCTGCAAGTGGCACCATCATCTCTCTAGTGACTCAAGTTCAAAACCAGCAAGGTCATCTTTGCATGCCCCCTGTCTCAATTCTTCCTCTGTGTACTGTACATGCTGCCTCCTAAGTAAATCTTATTTTTTTTGCTTGTTTTCATTCCCACTGAGTCATCCTAATCCAACTGTTCTCATTTCTTGCTGGGTCTACCAAGTAGCTTCTACCTAGTTTCCTTGCTTCCACTTTTGCCTTCCTCAGTCCATTATCCCCATATCCTCATAGTGCTGGGTGGTGCTTCTCAACGAAATCCTAACCATGTTGTCGTCCTTAAGATCCTTAGTGGTTTCCTGTTTCCTTAGGACTAAGTCCACAAATATTTAAAACGACCTATTTGAGAGGCCTTGCCTGAGCTTGACCTTGCTACTTCTCCTCACCCTCTCTGCCTCCCCTACCCCCGCTCTTCCTTCTGTTCATTTATACGTCATCGGGTCCCTCTCCAGGCTCAGCTCCCACATACTGGCTCTTTCATCTCCTAGGATGTTCTCTCCCCTTTCCCTCCACCCCGTTCATTCTTCAGATTTCAGCTTGCATGGTACCCTGGCTGGGTGCCCATCACTGACCCTCCCAAGCCAATCAGGTCTCATCTAACAGCTCATGTTGTCGTGTTGGCCACCTCGTGTGTGTTCTCTTTTGCTGTACGTACCTCGGTTGCAGTGGAGTATTTTATACAATAACTTGTTTAATCCTTAGCTCCATTTGTGAGTAATAAGCCTCATGAAGTAAGAGCTCTGTGTTCTTGACACCGTCACATTGCCTGGTATCGAGTAAGCATGCAGTATGTATTTGTTGAATGAATGGATGGTATTTTCTGGCTTCACTGAGGGGAGTACAGGATGAAATAGGCTCACACAGTGGCATGAAGAATGTAGATTGACTACTGGAACAGTTTAGCAAGGTGAGGCTTGTTAAGCATTATACAGGGAGTCTATTTTATTTTGTAGTAGAATAGATACAAAATGTTACAGCAAAGTGCTATTTAATGCTCAGTGCATAGAATATATATGGTGAAGGAAGGAGTAGGGAGAACTTAGCCTTCCTAGTGCCCTGCTGCTTTGTGAGAGGGGGGATTATTGGTTGTGACTCACCCAGCAGAACTGTAGGAAGCTGACAAAAGGCATTTTCATAAAGCACCAAGCGGGGTGGACAGAGAGACGAGTTACTGCTGAAGCAACATGCTCTTTCTCTGTACAAGTGCATTCCCAGGGAGCCAGAATTTGTGTTCAGCCTTGCAATGTTTTAATAAACGGACATATTTTGAAGCATCAGTACAGTGACTCTACTTCTTGCCAATGTTCAGTTTGCTCTCTCCTCTGAAGGCAGGCACCCAAGGCTGCTTGTCAGTTACTCCAACACAGTGAAGGATCTCCATCTCCAGCTCTTCACCCACTGCCTCCCCGATTTCCATTTCATTGAATAATGTAAATATGTCTTCCTCCCCCACCCCTCCTCCCTCTTCTTTGCCCCAAGAGTGTCCTGCCTGCTAAGCTGATTTATATTCTCTCTGAAGCAGTAAAGTTTCTATTTATAGACTCAATTGAGGCAGCATGCCTCCAGTGACAGTCACGGAGGGCCAGTCTGATGGTTCTGTGAGGGATCTGACACCCTGGTGTGTCAGAAAGAACCCAAAGACCATGGCTCTGTGGTGGTGCCCATTCAGTCTATCAACTGTATGGAACAGTTGAAATGCAGGTGCAGAAATCCCAAGAGTTTGAGAGATCGGTCCATTTAAAAGGATAATTGTAAAATGATCAACATGATCCTAAGTCACCAGCTGGCAAGACGTACACATTGGCCGGCCTGATTGGAGAACCGTTTTGCTAGAGGCCAGTGGCCCCAGCCCTGG